TGGAACTTATAAGCATTAGTAAGAATACAACTTAAGCTGGAACTTGGAGAGATTGTAGAATAGCAAAACTGTTGGTAAACTAGTTAGGGTAACATTTGATCAGATTTTCTTATCAATGAATTAGCATGTTGGGATTGCCAAGATTTTCGCTAGCAAATCAGTAGTGACCATTGTTACCTTCAATGTTTTGTTCTTATTTTTAAAGCAACCGAAGACGAAGACGAAGAAGAAGAAAGCGACGAAGATGAAGAAAGCGTAGTAAGCCACCACAAGAAACACCATAAGGCTCATCTGAAATATCACACGCTGAAGAAAAACAAAGTACGAAAACACAGCAAGAAAGTTAGCCTGGGTGAGTAAAATGATAAGACCTCTAACTCTGCCTCACTCCTCTTCCAACAGGAAATGAGAGAGGGGGACTGGGAGATAGTATTATATGTTACTGTGGGACGCTCAGCCGAGACTTTGGTGAACGGCTTATGAGGTTCTTAATGGGGAGGGTTCCTTTGACGGGTGGACGGTTAAAACTAAGCCGTTTTGACGGTTGACGGTTAATTTTTCGGAATGACGTTTATAACACGAAATCAAAGCGCAAATCTGGCTGTAATTTTTCATGAAAGGATACAGTTTTGCCCATATTTAAATAATCCAGTTAGTCCTATGCATAAAAACTGGGTTTTGGTATCCAAATATGTGTCTAATTAGCGTAATTACTCCCCCTTTGTTACTAATGGATGTATTAATTACCTGTTCCCGAGTTTAGAAGTTAAACGACATGTACATAATTTTATTCTTGTGATGTATTAAAATGATCATTTATAAACAGCATAAATTGACCCCTGTTAAGTTAATCATTTAATTCCTAATTAAGGATATCTGAGACATTTGACGGCTAATATTGGCTTGCTCATTTGACAACTGACGGTAAAAATACTGCGTTTTTGATGGTTGACCGTTAATTTTCTGGCCATTTGACGATTGACGGTTAATCCCGTTGAGACCCCCTGACTATGATAACGTTCACGTATATATTAGAAAATTCTCATCAAAAACACACTATTCAAGGTTCTACCGATATATCCCTAGCAGTTCGAAACGCAAACTTCCTTTCAAGAAAGCGCTACCATATTTGAACCCAATTAATAATGCAAGTCTTTTGAAGGAAGAAACCTCTAGAACCAAGGTCTATCCTTGAAGGTTTTGGATTTTTGGATTTTTGGCTTTTTGGATCTTGTGATTTTGGAGTTTTGGGATTTTGCTGTTAAAATATCAGTAATTCGATGAAATATTTTGGAACGTGTCCGTGATGTATATTTATGCTTATCTTTCCCATAGCTGAAGAACTTAAGGAAGCTAAATCTAACAGCACTGAAGACGAAGAAGAAGAGCAGGAAAATGACGAAGACGCCATCCGCGAGGCTGTCAAGGCTCAAAAGAACTC